CAATTAAATGTTAAGATGTTCAGCTAAATTACAAACAGAACGGTGAAAGCCAACTGCAAAAACTATCAACTAACTGGGAATACATGCAACAAACCCTCGCCTTAATTTGTTTTCTTATTTTTTTAAAAGACATCCATGGTCGTGTTTATTTGCTATTTTTTAAAAGTTTTTTTCACTATTAGCATATTGCAACGGCGCAATATGGATTTGCAGGTTCATATGTTCGTTTCGGTGCATGCTATGAAGACAAAAATACTACTGTTCGAATCAGTGAAACAATAATCTCCTAACTAATAATTCCTATAATGTTAGTTTTAATCAAATGTCAACAATATCGCGATTGATGACGTTCTCGAAGTTATTTTCAAGCGATATCATATTTCATTACATATTACTCAATTTTCTGGAACAGTGTAAGCTATAATATCTGCACCTTTTGCCGAACATAAGCTCGACGCCTTCGGACATATCTTTTTTGCAATGTAGTCTTAATTCAATAAGCATCCAAAATAATATTTAGAGTGTTATGTTCAACCTTGTGCCTTCAGATTTTCATTTTATAGAATATTTTTAGCGCGGCTCTTGAACAGGAAATATAACTTGAATTTATATATATATGATATATGTATACATGAATGTTTGGTCAGAGCTCGACAGCTGCGCCGGAACGCATGGAGGGCCGCAGATTTAATTCCTGCCAGGGACCTACTGTAAAGTTGGATTTTTCGCAGTATTACTCGATGAATATAAATTATGCATACCTTTCGCCGAACATAACTTCGGCTCCTCGGGACGCATCCTCTTTGTAATAGTCTTGTTCGAAAGAGAATTCAAAACCTTATTTGGAGTGTTATTTTTCAGCTTGTATCTTTAAAATTGCATCTTAATTATTATTGTGGGTATTTCAATTTCTGGTCTGATTGTGAACTAATCCCAATTTCAAAACGTAAAAACAATGCCACGTTTGTATCCTACGACTCGGAAAAGGTCGGAAATCGATTCTAATGTCGAATTACCCCTACAGGGTCATTTGCACGTGCATGTGCCTAGGGGAGCTACTAGGCGGAATTTTGCGCGCGGCATGGAATTTTTCTTTGTCTTTTTTAATTATAGTTCCACCCGAGAATTCACAAGACAAAGAAAAATTCCGCTCCGCGCGCAAAATTCCGCCTAATGAAAACCGGCTTTATTGACCAATTATGGCGTGCGAGCAAAACCCTAATATTTTGAAAAATTCGAAATTAATATTTCTACAGGCCGTATTCAAACGAAATTTTCTACACGTGAAAGCGCTTGAATACAACGAGACAGTGTTTTACTTATGTTGACGAGTTCACGAGATATTCAAGATTTTCTCGATATGAAATGCAGAATGTTTGGCCAAGCGGTGAGTATAAAATATACGATTGTTTTGGTTTGTGTAATGTTATGACAGCATCTGATCACCCCGGGTTAATTCGAAAGGTTATTTTGTGAGCATTTCAATTTTGGTTTCGGTTTTAAAGGGGGCAAATACTCGTCGAGACATTTCCATCAGAAGCAATTGAATCCCGAAAACAACGTAAATTGTTTGGTAAAAAAACTGCACAAAATTAACTTGTTTATATTTTTAAAATGATTTCTCATCATATGATTTCTTCTGCCTCGTACCCAGGCGCTTTAAATAATTACAATGCATGAGGTATTCAGGTAGGTAGGCGACGCGCGCGAAGGGGCTGTTGGGAAGGATGCGTGCTGGGGAGCGCCTGGCAGTTCTTGGATACTGTCATTAGGGAAAACAAGGAATTTAATACAAAACGTTACCATATCGTCATATACTCTGTGTGTAAAACCTTATTTTTTGACGATGAGTCGAATTGAACGCCATTGGCAAATAATAATAAATTTGTAGATGTTTGATGACATGCAAAATGCGCGAAAAATTATGAGTAAATTTCATGGCAAGTTTATCGTGCGAATATTTCGAATATGTCATTCGGTATTACATGGAGAATAATAGAATGCTATCAGTTGCTTAGTATAAAATAGTAACAGAGAGATGATTATAAAGTCATATAATTGCTTTTGTATTAATAACCTCTTTAGCTGAAGGCTCGATCAGTCGATCACAATGTCAATGGCAATTTCTATTAAATGTTTACTGTAAACAAAAGCCCAAATAAATAAAAATTCACAGCCGTAAAGTTTGAAATATTTATTACAACAGTGCAATTTTATAGTTTGTACCTTTATATATTATAGCGTACAAATCTAGTTCCTGCAAGTCTAGTTCTTCAACGCTTCGGTTGTTGACATGTTAATATTAGAATATCCATGGACTTTAAATAAGGCATATGTCATATATACCAAGAATAACAGCATGAATTCACGCCCAGATGACACAAGAATATTAACATTAGTCAATTCAACAAAAACAAGTAGCAAATAATCGTAAACGATAACGAAATATCACAACTTGCAAGAAATCGACTTTCTTGCAAGAAATTGACCAAGAACTGCCAGGCGTCTCGCAGTTCAAGTGCACTCTTCCCATCAGCCCCTTCGCCCATCTATCCCCACTACAATACTTCATGTAAACTCGTCCTATGTGCATCACTGTTTTTTTATAAAGAGACGCCTGGGTACGAGGCAGTGATTTCTTAATGTAAAATTGAAAAATCGCTTTCGCCTTTACAGTTAGCTCACTGCATGACCTTTCCATATGTTTTCAAAATCTTGGCAGTTGAAGATCTCATATTCTGAAAGTGTTTTCTTTTTTCTTAACTGTACACTCACCACTTAGTTAGGCTTTTACAAAAGACAAATGTTTGGTTGGTATAACAAGAACGTTGAAGTGGAAATGAAACGTCTTTGCAACGGTATAATTTCACTGCACCAATGTAATTTTGAATGTGTACTTGCATGTGCAATTTCTAACTCGAAACTAGTGTTTATATATAGTACAATCTGCAGAATTATGCATGTTTCGGCGTTTTACATGTCAACACTGGAAATTTTCCGCTGCTTGTTAACACGGAAATTTTTCTTATTCTTCGGGCTTTTGACATTGCTATATTATAAAACAAATATAAAAAAAATTTTCCGTATTGATATATAGTTATATCAACACTCGTGGAAGTTGGAAAAACTCGAAATTCTGTGAAAACACTCCGCCCTTCGGGCGTCGTGTTTCCACACAATTTTTCGTTTTCCCAATTTCCACTCGTGTTGATATAACTGTATATCAACACGGAAAATTCTTATATTTGTTAAATATATATGCGCTCTGGCATGGTTTTCATGTCCCACAATCGTGAGGCATCAAAGGTAACTGTAAATAGCAGTTACTTTCATCCTGCTTATCAGCACTACACTGATGAGGCCCATGCATAAGGCCGAAACGGTACCGCCTGTAGTTTACAGTAAATAACATATATGCATATACATAAATATATAACTATATATACAGTCATTGCCAATATACAGTCATTGCCAATAAGTTTGTCCAGAATAAATATAAGTAGCCTAAGTATATATTACCATGGATTGTAAAATAACTGGATAGGACACTTCGTGAAGTCACAGTCTGAAGTCACTCTGAACCTACAGTATAGTTGAAAATTGGCTTTCAAAACACAAATTAAAATCGAAAAAAATAACAATGTAAAACCAAGCAAATGTTTGTAAATATGATTTATAAGCCACAATAAAAGGATAAATCTACTTGTTGAAGTATGTGTTGGATAAAAATACACAGATTAAATACTCTAAATATGCGTCGCAAAATACGGAAGAATTCGGGCAAAATAGACTGCTATTGGCGACGCAATTATCTCTGTTGTAAACAGACATTAATGTAAACAATAAAGATGAACACTTGCCTTATACGAGTTGTTGTGTGGATAAGGCGGTAAGGCGGGTTCATTTCGGCCATGCATAGATCAGTATAAAATACCAAAAGACAAGAACAAAGACATTGTGAAGCACAAAAAATAAAAAGGTAAAAAAATCTTGTTCAAAAGCATAGGAAAATCAACAATACTTCGCCATCATTCGGCATTGTTGACATCACGATTTGCAACTAGGTTTCAGCATCTCTCGAGCAAAAACAAAGACCTCTCAGCAAATCAGCGGGATGGCAACATGTCGTGTGACTACAGTTTCCTATCCAGTTATTGTACAATCCATGATATTACCGATACTTTGTGCGATTTCTGATACTATAGATGAGAGGATATATCTGTTATGAATGTTCATGTTAGGGTATACATATACTCAGAACATACATAACTCATGTCTTCGTTCAGATCCACCACAACAATAATGGCACTTGCATGGAATCACACAAAGAATTGCAAGAGCAAACGGGACTTAAGAGAAATTAAGAAACGGCGGGCGTGTTGAAGAAACGCATGATCGAAATACTAGCTGCTAATGAGATTCATATGTTAAAGTTTCTTTGATTAACTTAGTATGTATTATGGCTGAGAAATACTAAATTGCAATGAACTTTGCATGGTGGACATATTCATTTGGAGAAACATTCAAGGGCATGTAAAATATAATATAATAATTGAGATGTATATATAATATAAAAAAATAAGAACCAGATCTCGACAATTCACTGATTATTATTTATTCTAAATCCAGTTATTAGCCTACATTACAAATAGATACTAATTATTACTAAATCTCCCTTTAATTTAAACGATTGTTGTTGTTATATGTATGTAGTTTGTTTTACAACGGACGTAGAAAAGGCGTATATGCGATACGAAATGTATACAATTTTCATTGAGAAGCGGAGCGAAATAACATCACTCCGTCGCAATAATTCCTCGGAAAATAGTGTTCAATCTTAAAAGATGCAAATAGGTGTTGTTCCACGTCGCTACTAAAACCTATCCGATACATTGTAAACGTCGCATAATAATATAAACAGGACTGTCTGCTTTGTTTACGTAATTCAAATTTTATTTGATCTATAAATAAACAGTTCTGTGGCCAAGTTAATTAAATCCCTACCGAACTAAAATATACCCCATCGATTTAATGTTCACTCGCCCGTTGTCCGCACCGCATGTTCCAATGTTACCGCTGGATGGTACACTTAAGCCATCGATGTAACAGTTGGGGTGTATTGTATAATTTGTAGCTCCTAAGCCAATGAATGAATCTGGTGTTAAACACTGCTCTTGCTCGTTTGCGATTATTCCAAGTCGCACAGCTGGGATCACAAGAATATTATTCAATATATTAAAACCTTCAAGATTGCACCATAGTTGTAGAGATGAGCCAGCAATTAAAGACCTCCATTTCCCTTTACTAACGTTTGTTGGACGAAAACGTCCATCCGCAATCAAACTATGCAATGAGTGAGCAGCGAAAGGTATCTTCAGAAACTTTAGGTTACTTCCTACTTTCATTCCAATACAAAGCTCATTGAATGGAGTGCTCCAGTATGTCGGCAGTTTCGTTTCCACATCATCAAAACCGGATGCTCCACCAACTGGATTAAACGTTAGTTTGTTGGACCAGTAAGGGGACCTGTAGTAGAATGTGTCCTATGAAATAAAGAGAAACACTCTCTCAGATCCAGTTCATCCGTTTCCAATGAGCAAAAAAATATGCACGTTGTTCCTTGACATGTTGAACAACATTACGAATCAAATCAACCAAGAAAAAAATACGATTTCGACATGATTTTATGCCGAAGATATCTGTTATACATTCTTTTTGATAAAGTCATGTCTCTGAAAAAAGTCTCCATTTGTCTTAAAGGACAATGGCAACGAAAATTTTTATTGGCTATTTCAATCCTACTTGACGACCTAACTATGAAAATATTATCCTTTCCTTCTCGAACATTTTAGTCTACGAGTAAAATGCATGCAAACTTTGTGTTTCGCCGCCATCTTGCAAAACATTTTTTTGAAAAATTATCTCGAAGGTCAATGAACTTTGTGTCGTCATTAGATGGGTAGCACCAAAACTACCAGAGAGAAATTATTCTATTGCATGCGTGTTATGTTAGTTAAAAATATGTCGTTTTGAGCGTTATACTGGCCAACACTCTTCGCAATCAAACAAGAAAAGTCTACGCTATCAAATAAAAACATATCGAGCGACTGGGAAAGCAAGGAATGGCGCAATTTACAATACAAGTAATTGATCATAAAATATTGCATCATTGTTTGCCTTGATACACTCGAATTTCTGCGTTTATTTAACGCGGATTAGGATATATAACATGAGAAATAGTGTTACAAACAAGTTACATACTTGGTAAAATTTTTCTGCCTTTGGTTTTTGGATTTTTGGCTCAAAGTGAACTACCCGTGGTAATACTCGGTATTGTTTTATAGTCATGAAATTGTGTTTGCCCAGCTATACGTCAGATAATATATGATGTAGCATAAATGTTTACTTTCAAAATGGCGGACGCCTGTTGAACTTTTTATTACATTTTCTCAACAACTAAACGCGACAAACCAGCCAAAATATAAAATTAAGTATTCCGTAAGTATACCTAATAGATATAGCAATAAAAATTATTTTGGTTGCCAATGTCCTTTAAACCTTAAAAAATATTGAAATGGTGCAACATTTTTCAATCCGCATACTTACATATAATGCAAACGGTTTAAGGAAATGAAAAAAGTAACAAATAAATAAACAGTTTTTGGAGTTTTCTTAAGAAATTTCCAGAAGTTCTTCTACATTTATAATTACGTAATATTAAGAAATAATAAAGTTCAAAATTATGAGAAATAACCTTGTTGCCATTGATTTTCATAACCATAGTCCAACCACCACCAGCACAGCCGTTAAGTGGCGTCATCTGGCAGTATGTTTTTGTCTTTCCAGTACCATATTCCGTTTGAATGTTGTAAACACCGTTTGCAAGATCACTGATGTATGAAAAATTAGTTAATATATTAAATTAACGATCGTTGTACCTTCAAAAACTACATCTGCATGCCTTATGAGTAATCATAGGGGAGGTGACGTTACTTGTTTTTGTGTGAATGAGTTAGTACTATACATATTCATTTGAGCCCACCCAACGATACGTATCGGCTAGCGGGATCTCTCGGCTGTGAGCTTTTCTTTAATCGTGTCGACCGTAATGAGGTTTGAATGTTGTTATCGTATAATTAGCATTTGCTTAACTCTTGCGCGTTTCGTTCAAGCATGACATCTTTTTATGTTGTATTCACTTTTCCTGACTTATTTGCAAAACAACTCGAGCTCATTGCTTTCATAACTAATTTGATAGTTGAGCATAAAAAGCCTACATGTTTTTGCTTGATCTTACAATACGGCAATCGTAAATTTTATCGGGGGAAATTTCCCCAATGGCCTGTGTCCTTGTCAAACAATGCCGATGTCTGTACAACGTGGTAGACGCACACTTAATCGCCTGCTGAGCTATATGTTAAGCTTGCTGAAAACGATCATAACAATATTTTACATTACAATCAAATTTCGTACGCATAATTTACAATTCAGCAACACTTAAAATCTCAATTTCTTATTTTATTTTTGAATGCGTAGATATATACCATAAAGTATTCTTCCATTTTGCTATTCGTTTAATCGAAATGATTACAAAACACATGAAAAGTAACCCTCATCTTAATTGTCAGCGCTCTTCCATTGAAGAGTAAATTGCCTGGTGTTACGCCGAATGAAATTATAAATTAGGGGCATTATTGGCGCACTGCAACTTAGTGAATTATCTTAGACACGTAGAGAGACATGTGTCTGATTAACCCATTGAGCACCAAGGCCTCCCCTTGTCAAATGAAATAAATCGCGTCGCGTTAGACAAAGAAAAAAATTAAGTAGCGCGCAATAGAACGAAACCCAACTTAGTTGGTTAAAAAATTTATAAAGCAAAGATGTTTAAATTTAAACGAATAACTTTAGTTGCATTACTAAATTCAAATTTTCATTGGTACGTATGTTATTAATTAGCCGAAAAATTAACAAATTTTTATACATTATTCAGGAATGTTTGCTGACCAAACATGTAAATATGAAGGAAGTGTTATTACTGGTTACTGATGACATGGTAATTTGACATAAACCGAAAGCGTTTCGAAGAAGGTGAAAAAATATGGTTTCTGTTCACAGTTTAAAGTTGTCTCAACAAGAAGTTATGAACAACCATACGGTTTACATGCAACATGACTAGTCAAGAAGAAGTATTAGGTAAATTGCTGTACACACTGCTTCGTACATATGCCATTCTTACCTGCTCATTTGACGCAATGCTTTACACGAGGCAAATATTCCTAAAAAATACAAGTAAATATCATTCATTCGTACTGCATGTACATCTTTAAAACACATTCAAATTTGTTCTTGTATTAGTCAGTGCACAGCTGATCGTCTATAAGATGTGATAACAGAATTGGTGATTCAGCTGCATTGCATAAATTAGTAAAAAATGCGCGCGCAATGTATAATTATTGAAAAGAACTACGTCACTAGCTCAAACAGGTTAATGATGGCATTAATTAAATACCTAAGATAAGAATTACAATCTACACAGTTAAAAAGTGTTTTGTAATTTTCGTTATTCATTTGTCCTGACGTTGATGTAAGACAAATAAACGACGGCTTTAATTGGACTTCTTAGTAGAACATTTACAATTGAATTTCGTAAAATTACACAGTATAATTAACAATTATTCACGAAAGTGGAAGTGAATAGTGCAATGATATTCGGACCTGACCAACCAATCAAATTGCGGAAAAAACTCCGGAGCGCCACAACTGGATGAAAAATAGAATTTTATCTTGCGTACAATGCGATTTTTAATTTTCCAATCAATTCGCAACATTTTATGAAATCTTTCAGTCAAATTCAGTCAGATATTAAGAAGTTTTAACAATTTATCCCAGTTGTGACATCACATTAATTATGTTAATTATCAAACCAAGATGGCGCACTGCTTGTTATTATCATAGATATATCTTATATACACTAGATAGTGCATCTAATTATTCTGCATTGCAAAAATTGAAGCCGTTATTGCAGACTCAGGATATTCCCATGAAATGAGAAGACTCGTATGTTTCCTATTTCTTAAACAGAGAACTTAAATATTAAGCGAAACCTGTTCCAAATACATTTTCAAAATATTCAAATGATGAAAGTTATTGTTGTTTTTTAAGCGTTTATTAGCGAGTGAGAAACGCCAACATCGTCGTTATCTATTCAAATGGGAGTAATCGCTGGAATATTCTTGGCTTCAATTTTCCTAAAAGAGATGCGCTATCTAGTTTATATAAGATATCGATGGTTATTATAGGTTGAAATATTTCGAAAACTATAGCTAAGCAAGATATGGAAAAGTTGCAAAGAGACTTCATATATCATTTTGAAACATCTTTCAAATAAGACAAACTTAAGTTTTACTGCCAATGTTCTTTAACAAAAAAAAAGCAAAGTTACTTCCATGCTAGAATTTGAAATCATTTTATTTCAAACTCAAAAATTTATTGATAAAGGCAGTTTAGTTTTATAAAGGACACTTTAAAACTTTTTGCGAAGCGCTTGTGGTTGAATTGTACCTTAAATTGAGGCTTATGTTACGTATAATAACATACCTAATAATATACATAAAGATATTACTCGACTGTGATTGGTTGATTTCAGTGCAGTTAATCCCAAACAGCAGTGCAATTTTCTGTAATCCCAGTGCAATTTTCTGTAATCACAGTGCAATTTTTTGTAATCACAGTGCAATTTTCTGTAATCACAGTGCAAAAATCTGTAACATACTGATCTGATTGGTGGAAAAACATTGTGATGATTAAATCAACCAATCAGTTTAAAGAAATTTAGTTTAAAGAAGTAACGGTCACAGATTGCTTCAAAACAAAACAAACATGGCGCCGCGCTACAGTAAAGTAAAAGTTGCTTTCGCGTGAAAAATATGGCTTTTATCTTTATTTTTAAATGGAAAAGCATTAACCTTAAACAAGACTAACAAAAATTACATAGTTGAGTGGAATTTTCAAGCTGTTAGCGTTGCATAATGTGATATAACAAAGCCAGGAAAAGTTTGCCGGTGGAATGTTCGCTATAAACGCGTAAGTTAAAACTACAATTGTCTCGAACATTTTTATGTAAATTATTAATAAGTAATAGCATGGTTTCTCGTGAAATTTCGATAAACATGCACTCGTGAGTTTTTCAAAGACCTCAAATAGCACTCGTCCTTCGGACTCGTGCTACTTTGAGGTCTTTGAAAAACTCACTCGTGCATGTTATATCCAAATTGCACTCGAAACCATGCTATTACCTATACAAACATGTATATGTTTGAGAAATTGATAATTTTGTAATTATATAAAAGTGATTTTTTAAGGGATTTTTCATTTGTAAAAATAATCTTGAAAAATTATCGTTTACCATGACGATAATTACTTCAAATACTCTAAATACTTCATGTTTGGAAAATACAATGGCTTTGTTAGCAAGGCGAGGGTTTTTGCATGCATGTATTTTCTAATTCTAGTAGTATATATACTTTTCCGCCAAATAGTGTTGGGAATTCCAGTGTAAGCCTGCACAAAATTAAATTTGAGAGAAATTACCGTCATCCTTGCATTGGGCGTTTCTATTCAAGTTATACATAGATGACTTATTAAGCTTGCACGAGCTTACCAGTCACTTCCTCGCAATACTTCCCACTGAAATTTTCAGAACAAATACATTCAAATTTTGTGATGGAGCATGGATGGTCAACACAGCTGCCTCCATTTTTGCACACATTGTTTTTCGAGCATGGCTGCAATGAGAAGTGACAAGAATTTAACAACAGAACGTTATAGTTTGCTGCCGTCAGAGATCCATTACAAATTATATTGCATTTTAAAATTCAAGGTTAAATAGGAAGCGAAGTTCGAAATAGAAAAATCGGGGCTAAGATAGGCTTGATGAGTCACGTGTAAAAACACAGACAGACGTAATAAAGGAATATTTCGTAATTTGAACAAACTAAGACCACTATTACGTGTTAATACCGTACCCAACGTCGCGGAACGCCGTTCTGGGAGTAAGCCGGGCGAGGGTTCCAATTCTAATACCGCCCAACTATTTACACCCGGGGAAACAAAAGCGTTATAGCAAAGTCCAAAGTTCATCAATGTTCGAGGGCGTGGATGGTCATCCCTTCTGGTTTAAAAGATATGGCGGACTGTCATGAATAGCGAATACTGATTAGTCAAACTAAGAAAATTTGCATTATAACGACTGCATGATGACAGGGAAATGGCCGACATTTCTTGCAGATATATTGTATTTTTGCAAGATTTTGTAAATTTCAAAACCTTTCTCAGGTAAGTAAGCCCTTTCTCAAGGTAAGTTTGCTTGTAATATTGAATTAGAAATATTGCTTGCATTATAATTGCTTTAAAAACTGATATGATCGCTGTGTATATCACCGAAAAAAGGTCAGAATTAGTCTCCTCCACAGGCATCTCTTAATCGTCGAGAACTTATATAATTTATTTATTCAAATAACTGATGTTCTGATTGGGTTACCTGTGCAGGGAGAAAATTGGGGAGAGATGCCAGCTAAAACCAGAAGTGAATGGACATGCCGTGTCACGTCAACGGACTTGTCGTGGCTTCCGGGGTACCCTAGGGATGACTTTGTTCATATCAAAACTACTACAAAATGTCAAAAGCTGTATGACCCCCACTTCCATAGGATACGATCTCTTTATTTAGGCTATACTTCATATTCAAACACAATTCGAAAAAATATTGATCGAGAATATCATTTTCATGTTGTAAATTGTTACAAATATGGATGAAACATTGATTATTTTGCACTTAGAACGGATGGCCGGAATTTAACGAAATCCAGTTGGTCAAACCACGCCGAAACTGTCTAAATCGCATCGAGCGACGAAGTGTGAATGTGAATGTGAATGTGAATGGAATTTATAAGAATTTTTGAAACCTTTCAATTTAAATTTGGTCTGTATCCTACATGCATATAACATCAAAATATTAATACTTTTGGGAAACGGAAAACTCTAGAAGGCAGATGGAGTGGTAAATGTCAAAATTTCAACTGGATAATGGATGCTCTTGCCTCTTGGAATAATTTGTCGATTACTGTTATACACTCTAGTGGACGTGCATGACATTGAAACTGGTTTGTCTACACAATTTTGAGATATTTCAGCAAAGAACAAACTTCAAATTTACAATCCCATGTGTTTTTACGTTGTATGTTGCTCGCTAGCGAGACATATTTCAGGGATTTGTTGAGTACATATACAGCATGTAAACTATGTAAACACTGAGTAAACTGCTTAGTACTGACTGAGCTTAAACACAAATTTGCAAGCAACTATTGTGCAAGTTGACCAAATGTAAGAAGAGTTTATATTCAATAATTATAAGTCAAGCAAAGTTATACAATTTATATTGTTGCTGTATTATGTTAGATGTTACGCTCAAGATTATTCTACTGCATTACTTCATGGTATTAAACAGCCTGCCATCCAGCTAACTAAAATTTTAGACAGCCATCTAAAATTTGGATTGTCGCTTGAAAATTGTAATTGCAAATAATCCAAGGATCGATCCAGCATGGTCTGGTAGGCGGCTGCTCTGCCAGCTATGGTGCCGAGTTGTGTCGGTCATGTATGCTGCTTGTCCATCAACATACTGATTTTGAATGGTAATTGTTATTTGAAGTTTGCATATCATCATGTTATTGCTCAAATTACTGCATCTCATTTTGTCTCTGTTATTTTTTGCTTTATCATGAAAACCCCCCTCTAGTAAATCTGCAACTTGCAATGCAATTTCTGATAAAAGGCGATGTGATTTAAAAATAAGTCGCAGGGAAATTGTGAGCATGAACCACAGTTTACACTTTATTTTTTTATCCCATAAAATTTCAGCAGAACACAATGCTGGTCATGTTCAATATGTCACTATTTTATCTGGCAGGTTATGACATGCTTAATCAATGTTGTCATTGACAATGGTTGCTTGTCCATTTCACTATAGCCTTGAAGCTGCTAACTGTACAATGTAAACCTTGCTGTCCACACTTTCTAGGATGCAACACCTTAATCTCCATCTCAGACATGCAAAATAGCACCTAGTTTCTTTCATGGAAACCCTGACAATTAAACATGTTTAATTGGATTAATAAAGTTATATTATTTTAATCGTCTACCACGTTATTGTTTAACTGCTGGATTGTACAATGCAATTCACACCATGCAGGTACTAAATATTGTAATATAGTGAGTAAACCCAACTAATTTTAGATTTCAGACAGTGGCTTTAGCTTGGATGTTGTTTCACTGATTGGCGTACTCGGCCAATCTGACAACCAAACACCAGACCAAGGCTTTTTCACTCAAATCAATATGGCTCTTGCCTTGGTTTCCATTAAAACTGGGTCCACAATTGTCATCTTGAAATATATTTTATATTGTTACATTTCTACACATTCAATGTAGGGCAATTTCGTCCTGCTTCTGACAACCATGAACTAACTGTACATGATAATTGTACTATTTTATATAATTATGCCAGCCAGACATTAATAATTATTTAACACAAAACAACTAATTGATCCAAAAAAATATTATATGAAGTTAAATGCATTTCATTGTGATATTAACACAAAGTCTACCTTTATAGTGCTTAAAAGATTACAACAAGATTTCTATTTCCATCTGCAGCTTATACAAAAATACATGTCAACTGACAACATGTAAATTATTTGATAACAATTTTAATTTCCGGGTTAAGATTCTTTCAATTGTCCAAAAAAGCTGAATATTGTTAAGGTACACATGGAATCATTTCAAAAAAATCGATTTTGATTTTTTGAGCTAAATAGTTACTCTGGCATGTAATTGATGTTGTGAAAGTATTTATTTGGTTGAATTTAAAAAATTGTTCTCTCAGGAGCTGTTTTTAACCACCTCACTATAATTTTCAGCTTGGTTGCCATGGTAACGAAAGGCAGAATCCTTCATATTTTTCATGTTTTTACCAATATACTGCTGTCCCTCCCCTCCCTAATATAAAATAATGATACAGGTTCATCTCTAGATGATTTTGCAGCGGATTTACGTGGCGATTATGCGCATTGATGCATTTTTTGAGAACTAGTGATTCAAACAGAACAAACTCGAAAATGTGTTTCAATATTTAATAAATATTGATTACTTTTGTGTATATATTTCTTAACATATGGTTAAAAATAACTAATAATGGTTCACAGAAAACATTAAAATGAAACTTTATTCACTGGGGTGAAGAAATGCGCTATAAAGACGACGATAAAACGTGAACACATTCAGGCAATAATCGGGCATTATTTCAATGTCATGGTCATTATTTCAATGTCAACAGTCATCTTCGATTTGGATTCTTGGGCATGTTATAAACAGATCTTCAAACGTTTGTTCTGATGAACTTAAAAGTTGTGAATGTAAGTATTTTTCTATCATTGAATGATTGATTCTAGTATACAATAACTCAAAAATGTTAATTAATAATATAATTAGTAATTATTGCAAATTTGCAATATTATGATATCAAGAGATCAATTTTCTCTACCCAATTTTGGTACAGATATCAATACATTATTTCTTGCTTCATTGTTATAATTTTACTATTTTAATGCTTTTTGGTATTAATATTAATGAGGTTTCTGTACTGCATTTTAGGTACTGTAATTACATGTCAAGGTGTACCAAGTTTGAGAGCTTGTTTTGGGCCGAATATGTTTACCGAGTGTACCACTTGCAGCAATAGGACAAGAATACAGTTACGACAATGTTATCTTACAAACTCATGTAACTTGGTGTTGAAAATTGACTGTATACAAAAAACTGTGGTAAATGTTGGTCTGCATGTTCCATTGGTAAGCACGATGAGTGCAGTGTGCATCTTTAAACATCCTTGTTACCAGCAAGAGGGTTCGGCAAAGAAAACTATGGAAAATTTAGCTATACCAATAGAGTCATTTAAGTTAACACACAGGAACATCTTTTAAACCAAACATGAAACTGCAGGAAAAACTAAGTTTGCTCTTAAAAGACAATTAACAGGTCAGAAAGTCAAACCGCCAGACATCTGAAAAAAACAACAGACGTCGACAGGTGGAGCAGCTTCAAAAGAAAACTGAGAGAAGAAGCTCTATGAGAAGTAGAAGGGACAACTTATGAGGCTGGAGGCTTCTGAAGTGCTAAAAGTACTTCTAATGACAAAAAATTAGGCTAAAGTCCCTGAAACCTGTCAGGAACAGCTCGAACAGTTGTTTAGAAACTTTAACACTTGTTTTCTCGGAATGTACATTTTCCGTCTTTGAGAAAAGATATCTCATGATGTATTTAACCAATTGTCCTGAAATTTTCAGGGCTTATTCTTTTATTAGAGCTGTCTTAATTAAGCGTAGGAAATTTCTGTATCTCGTGTGGAATACATTTTATGACAAAAAATATTATTGAAAAAACCTATGTTAACTTTGTACCTCTGCTGTGACCACTAGATTTATCATACAAAAAAGTTCTATGCTCATTTAAGATAATGATGCCCATACTACTCACTGATAAAATTTCTTAAAATTCCAAGCAATTTATAAGCAGATATCTTTTCTCAAATGCACCCTAGTTTTGCACAGCATGTGGTATGACTGCCGGCCTGGTGTCAGGTTACAAAGGACGTTAGGCACTAGTGATTAGTATTTTTAGTTTCTATAGGTCATAAGCTTTCTACTGATATATAGTTTGTCATAACTCTGGTAAATATCTTTAAAATTACAGCCATTTCAAAAAGACCATCAATCCATGTGTACCCCCGCCTTAATCGTTTAGCCGCCTTTAGCGACCGTATTAATATAAATTCACTAATTCTCATAATTCTTCACTCCATGCAATCCGCCATCTTTGATGACAAATCCCTCCCCACGTGCATACCCTAGAGATAAAATCGCTGCGCAAGCAAGATGCGCAGAACGGCTCAATCATGTCGGGTTTTGGCAGGCATCTAACCGATTGTAGGTAAGTACCACGAGATGTCTGCGAAGGAGGCTAGGTCAGAATATAAGTTCAGTGTATTTTTATTAATTACCTTCTTTAAATAAAGAGAAAAGCAAAGTTATTTTCATGCGAGAATTTGAAACCAGTTCATTTCGAACTCAACTGAAGTTTACCGATAAAAGGCGGTTTAGTTTTAAGAATATTTTAAAACGTTTTGCGAAACGCTAATGGACCATTCCCCAATTAACCAAAATTTAGATCTCAACAAGTCTAGACAAAATTCCATCATAGCATGAAAGAGCATCACAAAATTAGTAATATTCCAAACTTTCGTTGCAAACTGTTGTAAAATGCAGATAATATAGCCTTGCGAAACTTGCAATTTTCAGTCATTTTAGATTACAAACAGGAAATGGAATTTGTGAATTTTGTGAAGCTCTTTCAAGCTGTGATGAAATTTTTGTCTAGACTTGTTGAGTTCAAAATTTGGGTTAATTGGGGAATGGTCCATTGTCGTTGAATTTTATGTTAAATAGAAGCTTATATTACGTATAATTTGGGAAATAAAAGTGATATTTTTGCAATTGGGGGATTTTTCAATCTTAAAACTAGTATTCTTAATTAATAAAATTATCGTATTACCATGACAACTACTTTCAATACTTCATGATAATGTTCGGAAAACATAATGGTTTTGTTAGTAAGGCGAGGGTTTATGCATGTATGTATTTTCCAGTTTAAATTATGTACTTCATGTTCTTCGAACAATCAATGAAAAATTTCAATAACGCTTAGTCAATGGGGCCCAATGTAAAATATTTATTTTATAACTTATTTACAACAAATTATTTTGGAAAATCGCTGTGAAATTCATGGATTATGCAGTTATTTCAATTAAGCCTTTCATAGTCAATTGCATTCTGAGCGCAAACGGCAACAGACGATGGGTGTGCCTACTTTTAGTATTTTTTTATAGCAGTTTAGGTAGCCTATTTCTATTGCCTAATATGTTAATACTAGAAAATACATGCATGCAGAAACCCTCGCCTTACTGACAAAACCATTGCATTTTCCGTACATGAAGTATCTAAAGTAGTTGTCATGGTAACACGATAATTTTATAAGCATATTCTTACAAATGAAAAATCGCCTAAAATTATCACTTTTAATTACAAAATTATCAATTTCCCAAAATATATATATGCTAGGTATGTTATTATATGTAATATAAGCTTCAATTTAAGGTAAAATTCAACCACAAACGCTTCGCAAAACGTTTTAAAGTATTCTTTATAAAACTAAACTGCCTTTAATTAAATGGCTTTATCGATAAACTTTGAGTTTGCAATAAAACGATTTCAAATTATCGCATGCAAATAACTTTGCTTTCTTTTTTATTTAATTTAACGCACAGTAAGTCGCTAATGCTTTCGTTTCCCCGGGTGTAAATAGCCGGGGGGGGGAGGGGGTTAGTACCCTCGCACTAATCCTTTTAATTCTGGTAATTCTAAACTGCTAAAAATATTCAAATTATATAACTATACCATCTCGCTGGTCGCGCATGGAATGCAAAATTAACTGTAAAATTTGTTATACTATTTGCGCAGATTATGAAACAGGCTTTCGAACTAAAAGCCATGCAAAATGCCAGTTTTCACAAACGCGTAAGCGAAAGACTATTTGTATACATGTATATTATCCTCGAGCCAACGGCGCGGAGAGCCGTCCCGGGCGTAAGCCCGGGGCGAGGGTACTTCCGCCCGGCTATTTACACCCGGAGAAACGAAAGCATTAGCGAAGTCTAAAGTTCATCAATGATCGCGGGCGTGGGTGGCCAACGGTGTTCGAGTGTTGGGTGGGTGGTCATCCTCACTGATCTCAAAACCATGGTCAAATAAAAAATTGGTCAAATATAAAATTTGCGTTATAACGACTGCATGACGACAGCGAAATAGTAAACATTTCTTGATTTGATGATTTCTTGCAAATATATTTCATTTTTGCAAGATTTTGTGAATTTTAAAAGCTTTCTAAGAAAATAAACAGGAAAGAATTGCTATAACAGAAGGGAGTAAAGTCGCCGACGTTAACGAAGATAAATTTGTTTTAATGATGTATTGTTCTCTGATCGTTACGTATATTTTAAATGAAAAGGACAACATATATTTTCAGTGTCTTTTTATTGATTACCCTTTTTTATTATAATAATTTTTTTTAAATAAAAAAGAAAGCAAAGATGTTTGAATGCGAGAATTTGAAGTCATTTTATTTCAAACTCAAAGTTTATCGATAATAGCGACAGTTTAGTTTTATAAAGAACATTTTAAAACTTCTTGCAAGCATCTGAGATTGAATTTTACTTAAGCTTAAGCTTATATTACGTATAATAACATACCTAACATATGTTTGTGGAATTGATAATTTTGTAATTAAAAGTTATATTTTTAGGGGATTTTTGATATTTTTCATTTGTAAAAATATTCTTAACAAAATTATCGTGTTACCATGACAACTATATTAAATACTTCATGTTCGGAAAATACATTATAAAATAACTACAGTGAAACACGCAATTTGATTGGTCAACAGCCGTGCAGGTCAGACAATCCTGCACGGGAAATTCTGAACAGAAATTCTTGCACATAATTTTACAAATATACTCGCATTGTAAAGTTTCATTGTACGATACCTTTCGACTTTGAAGTAAGTATCCAATTATTGAGACGTTGGTTTAGTTGTATGAATAAATTTCTGATCGACACATTCCTGTTCAAGCAAGTAGCAACGCCTAGTGTTGAAATTCATCAGACCATGGCAAGTACAACATCTCTCGCTAGTCGCTTCAAAGTTCAAATGCTTCGCAATCTTCAAGTATTCAGGTCGAGAATCTTTTCATAACTACTTTGGCTCTCTGTTTAGCGGGTTTTCCATTTCAAATTTTGAAAATATTAGCGAAAAAATCTCAGTATTTTTGCTATATATTTTCACGAATTTGCGATCAAATTCTGTTTGCATTTGTTGTTGTTTTCAATAGCGTGGAGCAGCGATTCTCCAATTGGTTAATTGACGATTGTTGTGAGAACTGCACATTTCATCAGTAATTTTAATCAAGTTAACCGTCGTTTTACTGTAGTAATTTTATAAAACAATTACCAAATGGTTTTCCCGTCCAGGATAGCATGATCCATGCACTTGGGATGTTGCTCGACTTTTGGAAAGCGTAAAAATACACTCGCCTACGGCTCGTGTATTTTCACGCTTTCCGAAAGTCTCGCAACATCCCGCGTGCATGGATCACGCAATCCTGCACAGAAAACCATTCGGTATTCCTTTAATGGTTTTGACAGCAATGCGAGGGGTTTCTGCATGCATGTATTTTTTAGTTTTATCTTTATTCGTTGGATGCGCAGTTTGAACTTACAACTGGTCTTAACACAAACCTTTTTAACCAAGATATACAGTTTCCAAGAACTATGATTGATTTTGTTCCCCAGTTGCAAACATCTTGTAATTCTGTTCAGAATTTTGCAGTTCTTATGAAGGCGCTCCATGGTCGAGTGATATTTAAATGCAACGCATTCCTCAACACGCACGCACCGCTGGCTACATTCTGACACAGAACTGGCGCGGTGACTGGACAGAAGTGTGGATTTAAAACATTTCCCTAAATAATTAACATATTTTTAAATGCGAAATAAAATTGACACCTGATTAAATTAATAAATATATTAAGGGGATGGGGGAGAGGGGAGGGGACTTAGTGAGCTCAACAGGGAAGTGGCGTTTGTAGTAAACACAAAATCTAAACGGGTTTTTTCTCAATCTGATGCTCAGAGTTTTCCCTTCATATATATCCTGAATTTAACATATAGCCTGAATTTAAAATGGCGGTCGGACGTCTGAGATTTTTTCCTGAAGTATTTACGATTTTGTTACGAATTTCAATAATTGTATGCATATTCTTCGTCAAGAAGCGTGCATTTGTTAGCCCTGATGTTATTGCATTGTCAATGCAGTTACCTGAGGTGTTTTATGGAAGAAAGTTATGTATTTCATCCCTGCATGTTAGTACGGCGAAGAGATTCAGAGTACACCATTCAAATAATATTTCGATGTTACTGCTATTGTTGGGTGGGGATGTTGAGACATGTCCCAGACTGAATTCCTTAACGAGACGAGAATTCAAGCGACAGTTATCAAGTAAAGGTTTAAAAATGGTACGTCAAAATATTCAGTGTCTTCGAAACAACCGCGACGTATTGCAGGAGTTTGTGTTATCTCATGACGAAATCGATATCGTGTCAATATCAGAATCGCACCTATGAAATGAGGAACCTAATGAGCACCCTTTTAAATTACAGGGTTACTCATTTCATGAACGAAATCGGTAATATTCCGCTACCTCCGAAGCCGCTGCAACAAAAACCCTTACACAGGCTGGTCACGTGGCACCCAGATTTTGGGTGTCACGTAGAAGTATGTCACTAGGGTACGAAGCTAACCCGGACCAGCACAAGATGTTCATTTTATATGAACTAGTTGAATAGTATGACCAATGCTGTATATGGGTTGATTTTATCGTTGTTGAACTGAAGATATAATAAAAACTAGCAGCCTTTATGCGATTTAAGCGCTGCACTGCCCTGTGTTTTCATAGCTGTACATATACAGTATGTCAAATTGCTACACCTTTTGGCGTTCTAAACAATGCTTGCCGCAAAACGCAAATCATAGTTATAGAAGGGTAGAGAAGGCTGTCAAGACTGAAAGTAAAATGTCTAAATGCAGTATATTAGGCATGGAATAGCTATAAAAAAATAGTCTGTAATAGCGAGTTTGTTCTGGGTATAAACGATAGTTCATGCCTTTTATAGTATATGAGAAGAATTGTGGAAGAGTTATTGGTGTTCTTAAATTAACTATAGGGAGTTTACGAATGTAAGACGGCGACGTCAGGACGATGGCTATCAATATACAATGACATTAATCCTATAGCACAAAAGAAATGAATAATTAAAAGTTTTAGTCGGGTTTTAGACGTCGTCCAAGCTCTGTTGACAACAGCAAAAGGCATATTTTTACGTCTCGTATAGTACGCTAGCATTTCACGCCGTGACAGGTAGTTTTTCTAGCAGAATTGATCAAAATTGCTCGGAAGGTTAAAGCTCTGTTTAACCCGTTCGAAACTATTTTAAATTCATACGAAAGAAAATACAAGACAAGATTTCCATGGAATCATTTATTTCAAACAGTTTGTTTAGCCGTCGTCCTGACGTCGCCGTCTTATATTCGAAAATTCCCTAATATCTATACCGAGACACCTTAAACCGCTGATATTTATGCACAAAAACGTTTTGACAGTAAATTGAAATTCAATCGTGAAGACCGCTGTCTTGTTGTGCTGTCGGTATTCTCTCTTACGAAAGCTGCAATTAAGCAACCAACTTAAAATTTCCGGCCATTTACAGTACTGCCTACAAGTAAGTTAACACTACGGTTCGGTCGCAGTTCGTGCGGTTGGCGGTCGCGGTTCGTGCAATATGCGGTTGTGGTTCGTGCAATTTGCGGTTGCGGTTCGTGCTGTTTTTTCACCGACCGCAGGAAACCATGGCGTCGTGTTCCGACGTTTTCCGACAACAACGGTTATCATGCCCTTTCTAATCACAAGATTTTATTATATTTTAATATTATGATTATATTTGTAGGTCTTTATTTACTTATATACTATGTAAAACATACAGTACCGGCACTCGTGATATGAACTTCACATACTGTAGGTTATCAGTAATTATGTATAAAGTTATTTATCATCACTATCACAAACAGAATAACTGTGTAAGGTTCGCACTCAATTGACATAACCAACAAGGCGGATACTCGGGTTTGTACTCGCTCCGTGAATGATATTGATTATAATAGTAATTCCCAAACACCAGGGAACGAAAACCTAAATAAAATCAAGCTAGACGAAGTGTTGGGTAAATGTGGAAATGATTTCGTTTGCAATGGAAGTATTGGCCAGCAAAAACGGTTTGTAACGAAAATTTGAATCTCGTTGGTACTTGGACGTCGCTTGGTGGCGATGTAACGCATTTTACAAACGAAGCTACCGATATTGGCTTAAAATGGCTTGGAATATGCAAGAACAAGTTGATTATAGTAAAAGAAGAAAATTATACGGTTACAGATGCCCGATCAAAGCTATTAAACGATAAAATGGCAAAGAAATCGGCCGAGAACATTTCAATCAATGCTGATTACTACGTGGATACAACAACAACAACAACAACAACAAAAACCGCTAACGTCAACGAAAATTGCAATAGTTGCGAGACGCTGAGATATCTAGTTTTAAAGAAGAAATAACAAGAATGAACAATCTTATCGTTGAGATGCTGAAGAAACAACAGGAAAGTGAATTTAAAACGGAAAATAACATAGAAATAACAACAAAATGGCATACGAGATCGACACACTAAAAAATGTTATTCAGAAAATCTCAAGTGAAAAAGATAAAATGAAAAATATATTGCATTTGAAACAAAATGACTGGATCACTATTGAAAAGAAAACGCCTTCAAACACGACCAGGACACCAAAAACCCTGCACCGAAAAGCTATGCATCTATAGTTTCAAACAGCTTTTCAACCATTCAAGATCTCACACCAGACGAATCACCTGATATTCCAAACCTTGTATCTGCATGTGGGTACCAACACCTAGTAACAGATGATGCAAAAGTGGCGGCTAAACAAATGGAAGATCTCTTTATGGAAGCAAAGAGTAAGGCTGAAAAGGTTGCTGTTTCAAGCATTATTAAAAGGTATGACAATAAGGTTGAGCATTCGCAAATTTAAATTTAAATAATGAATTTAATGATCTTGTTCATGAATTGTGTAAGAAACACAATATAGTTATATAACACTCACTGACAATAGCGACATTGACAAAACTATGTTGAACAGATCAAACCTTCACCTAAATTATTATGGTGATAGTGCACTTGGTAAGACATTGTGTTCCTATCTAAGGTCTGTAAGATCTGATAACCCTAATTATAATAATAGTCCGAGTTTTTGTCAAGTCAGGCGACAATCGAGTCGCCCAAAGGACTGCACAACATGCCTAACTTACTTAGCGCATGTTGCCAAAATGATTCGACAGTAGATAATAGTTACATGTATTTACATAATAGGCTACAAAAAAACGAGTATAGTGATTTCTCGGATAAAATTAATTGTCTTCCAAATCGGCGCGGGTTCAAAATGGCCTTTTTGAATATAGTTATAAGCTTGCGAAAAAGATGTGATGAAATTAATTTCACAATGTCAAACAAATTATTACATATAATGTCCTTTAGTGAAACCAAACTTAATTCAACAATACCTGATAGCATGATTCATATTGATGGCCATGACATCATACGAAAAGATATGTCAAGAAATGGTGGTGGTGTCTGCATCATTGAACTATAAACTAGAAATACATGCATGCAATAACCCCTCGCCTGTTTTCAAAAGATATATACTCAGTGCCGTTGCGAGCACTTCGTCGCAGGGTGTGTGTGTGGTTAGATAGATGTGGTTACCAAAAAGTTTCCAGATGTACAAAAATTTTTCAGGACATATAATAATTTTTCCGAAAATACAGTTGTTTTCCAAATTCACTTTCTCAGTCATGTCCTGAGAATTACCTGAATTCCCCTGAAAATCTTCTGCAAATCTACTTAAATGTACGTACTAAAAGTGCACTGGAAATCTACCTGAAATTCATCATGAGCAATAATCAGGGGGTGTTGCACCCC